AGGCTGCAGCACGTGCTTCATTCTGTAAGAAGCAGAATTTCTGACTCAAGCCCTCCTCTTCAGTCACAACCAACCAATGCAATAGTACACCACTGGAGATGGTAGAAAAGAACAGGCACAGATCAACCAAGGCAAGAGAGATCAATTTACAAGGAGAAACCAGGACTATTCTCTCAGCCACATTGCCAGAGGTCAGAAGCATATTAGTGCCACCTGTTAACATTCAGTGGCTCAAATGCTTCAACTCCTTGCAACTTCAGTGTTCAGGCCCTTTCAAAAGTCTCCAAGTACAATGCACATCTCCTTTCCCACCTCCCTGTGCTGCCTCATGCTTTATGCAGGGCAGCCTGGGTTTAGTTTAAAAAAACCCCAACCAACCAAAAAAAAAAAAAAAAAGAAAACCAAACAAAAAAAAAACCCCAACCAACCAAGTTTTTCTGAAGAATCTAGGCCTTTCCTGTGAATCATTTAAAACAAAAACCAGAGCCACAGACAGATTTAAGCCTATTCTGCAACAGACCTATCTTCAGGTGACATGACTCAAACAGGAGATTTTCTGTAGCAAGTTGTTTTTCAGACGAGTATTTCATGTTCATGAGTTCATCCCAGGCTCTCGCTGCCATAAAACTGCCCTTCTACCAACACAGAGGCGAGTCCCTGCCCGCCAGGACATGGACACCCACTACAAATAGCTGTCTTTTCCTGGGAGCCTTACAACAGATTTGCTGAACTAGAGAAGACTGCTTTCTGTCACAAACTGCAGAGTGAGCCCTTGCTGTTAGAAAGGCAAGGAGAGGTCAAGTGAGATGGTAGACCAGCTATAATGCCAATTTCCTTGAATGCCACAGTAAGGACGTTGGCAACACACATTCCCCCAGGCATGCCTTCATTTTCACCTGAAGGACCCATCCTTGTAAAGTACCACCTCAATCTATACATCCCACGTGAATCCAGCTTGCCTGACTGCAACTCCTGGTTAAGGAGCACATGGTCAGAGCCTGACCCCTACTACAGTCAGAGGGGAAATAGCACTCGCAGGTAATGCTGGGTTCCAACCTGCCACTCCAAGGTTAGGCGAGACAACTGATCACCAGCTAGTTTGACCCAAGCACTCCCTGGGATGCTAAGCTCTACCCATAAATGCAACTGGCTGTTAAGGTAACAGAGCCAGAGGGGAATGGCCAGGGAGCACAAGGCTATGGGGGGCACGAGGCTTCTTCCCCATCCCACACACAGCAGGTTGTCACATCAAAAGTCAAAGAGCCTTTTTGAGATGTTAGTTGATGACTAAGCTATGCTAATTAAAAATGCTAGCTTCACAATAAGGGATAAATACAGATGAAAAATTAAAATCAAGAAATGTCTGTTCCACAGAATGTTGGGGGGAAGTGGGGAGGAGGTGGGAAGAAACAATTGTCATGGCTTCAGTGGAACAATCTACTGTCCCCAGGATATGGTGGCCGCTGAACATCTGTCTTCCCCTCTACCAGAGATGAAACCAGAGAGTCACAAGGGTTAAGCTGTCTTCAAGTCACCTCACAATAAACACCAAAAAAATCCCCTAAACCCAACCCCCTCTCATCTCTCAGTGCATACATAAAGAAACAGGCAGAGAAGTCCCCTCTGGCCTCCTATCAGTGGAGCAGAAAGAAAATAATTTGGGGAAAAAAAAAAAAACAGATCAGTTTTGAATATTCTGTATCGTTTCCTTAATTTTCAATACCAACAATGCTGCAATGGCCCTGGAGTTTCATGCTACACCACACTGCTTGAAAAGGAAATACTAACCCAGACAAAAAAATAAGCCAAGTCAAAATACACACAAAGGATAAACACAACTATGTATGAAGGGATGCAGGTGAACGCTGGCCGGCCCCAGAGCAAACACCACTGTTACAAGCACTTGGCTTTCCACATTACAAATGGTTCAAGCAGGCAAGGGCGGGGGGAACAGACAAGAAAGTGCAGGCTAGAGAGCATTCAAGGCCTTATGGGAAGCTTTGCACAGGAGCTGTTCAGAAATGCTTCTGCCATCCTCCTCCTGTTCTCACTTCACAGGATAAAAATAACAGGGGAGAGGAATCCTGTGTTCTGTACTGCAACTTCTCTCTCAAACACACACCACTTCAGGATAATTGTTACAAATCATAAAAGATGAACAGGATGTTGAAAAGTGATAGAATACGAATAACTCTAAGTACAGGGCACTCGTTTGCAGGAAATGCCCTGCACATGCCAGTCAAGAGTAAAGAAAAGAAAACCAACAACACATATGCCTTCCAGCTTTTATCTTCAGGTCATAGAAGCAATCACCATTCTGAAAATGAGCATTTCCTGGGATTTAACAGCTGTTGGGTTAATAGTGCTAGGCAAAGGCAGTTATGCCGAGCCCGTAATTTTACCCACACATAATGCGTCACGCTGCATCTATTAGTGATGTCTCTTCAGGATACTGTCGACAGATTCAACCTTAAAAAACAATGCTGTTTGGAAGTGTTCATAAACCCCTTGTCACACCGCTACTGCTTCCATGCAGGTTCGCACCAGGAAGCCATGCCGGGCAGCCTTCCTAACATGCCCTCCCCACCCGCGCACAGTCACTAGCAAAAAAGGCAAGTTTCAGCCCTGGACCCGCTGCCCCATACGCTTTAAATCTGTCTCCTCAGATGGGCGTCTTCTGATGGAGCCTTTCTGCCTCCTCCGCACTACCTTTTTAGACACTTTTTTGAGTTCAGCTCATCTAGACATCATGTCTACATAGCCAAAAACTGTGCAGTTTGTAAAGAGATCAGGGTTTTATATCATCGCTGCAGGGCTTTCCCAATTCTGCATTAGGGAGAAACACTCTCCATCAAAATGAAACACTGCAAGAGCAATGTGCTGATATGCAGCTGCTAGCTGTGCAGACGCACTCAGCCAGTCTCTGTCTTCTAGGGATGTTCTTTAACTTGTCTAAATCCTTCCTGTCCCTCTATTCTGTACTGATACTAAAGGAGCTCTCAAACCACCCTGCAGCGAGAACAGCCCCTAGTGAAAGACAGCAAACTCCTTTGCAAATTCATCAGAAGATCAGCTCAGCCAAACTCAGGACAGATTATCCTCACAGGATTGCCACCGACTATCCTCAGAGAACCCGCTACCACAAACCGAACAGCTATACTATGAGACCCGCTTTTAGGAGGACAAAGATGAGCTTTTCATCAGCTTCGAACTACCAAGGAAAGGCTAAAGAGGCTAACTCTGTACGCTTCTCCCCTTCCTTCCTTGATCTGCAAGACATTTTTTAACAGTTTTGTCTGATATGATCATTTTGCATCAGACCTAACCGGTATCTTCGCCACCATCCCCGCCCTTTCCCTAAAGCCACAAATAAGATTTGGTATAGTGACACAGTTTTAACAGACTATTTTTTGTGTTGATTACATGCAAAGTTGTATTTCACTATATACCTAGGCTTCAAGCTCTTCTCTCTACTGCTCTGCAGTTCGCCTTTAGACCGGGAGCAGACCATTGGCATAAAACAAAACAATATATAGGTTCTATATGCATTCATCCTATAAAACTTAGAGCTCTTTGGACTGGTGATCAGAAGTTAGTCTCTTTAAGAGCATTTGATAAAGAATATTCCTTTGCTCCTGCCAAGGAAGGAAGAAAGAAGAGACAGAAGGAAAAATACCTTCCAAGTTTCAGCTACATGCTGGCTTGCATTCTTACAGTTACCACATCCCAAAATTTAACAAAAGATGCCACTATAATCAAGTCCAACATCTCCTGCATCAACAAAGTTATTTTCTTATTTAATGATACAAGAAATAAGTACACACACATCTCCACCAGGACATCTATTTAACTGAAGTGTACAACTCAGGAACACCTGAAAAATCTCAAAATATTTAAATGAGCACTCCTTATGAGACCCCCCCTCAAAACTCAAGCTTTTGCACTCAAGGTAGCAGTTGCAGGAAACAAGGACAACAGGCCAGCACAGCAAGAAGAGCAGTAGCAAAGCAGCTTAATGCTTCATCGATGCCAGAGGGATCTGAGGGGAGGAGGGCGTAGTCAGAGGAATTATCCCTATTCTGATTAGCATCAGAACAAAGGCTCACATTAGTTCGTCAGCACCAGGACTCCCCTAGAGTACTGGATAATAGCCTTGTTGAAAGCATTAGAAGGATTTCCTCCCCACCCCATCCCCCAATCTACCTCCCTTCTCTAAGGGGGGATAAAGGGGTGAGGTCCAAAAAACAGCTTTTTGTTTAGTTCTCTGGAAGACATATCCAGGTAGTATCTTACCATTAAACCATAAAATACACAAGCAAGATCCTTCTGCGATAGGTTTCCAAAGGTAACATTTGGGAGCAGGTATGGGGGGGGGGGGGGGGGGGCGAAGATGACACA